GAAACGAATTGTAAATTAGCAGTATCTTACGTTCTGTCAGATTTACTTACTCTTTCGGATACTACTGAAGACATTTTCCCACAAAAACGATTCAATCGACTTAAAAAATGGCCAAAAGATACAATTCAGAAAAAAACAACATGTTTTTTTTATTTGAAAGTTAATAATTTAAACAAACATATTATTCATCTTATTTTCCATTTATAAGGTTTCCATTTTTTTTTTGTATATGTATATCTTCCATTGTTTTTGTTTGCCATGTGTGTGAGTGTTCTTCTTTTTCACAATCGTATTATTTTCATATAACATTATCACTAAGTATTGATGAGTAACAGTCCAATTTCATGTGTGTGTTTTCTTCTTCTTCTTTAGTTTTAAATTTAATTCTTCTTAAATTTTGCGTATAATTTTACCTCATTGCACGGATCTCGTTCTAAATCAATTGGTTAAAATACAATTACGAGTTCAGTAAAGAAAAGAAAAAGTTCTCAAAAGACAGTTTGAATGCAATTCTTGTGTTCTTTTTTCTTTGTTAAATAGTTTTTGCACACATAACATGATATCTCAGCTCATTCATTGAATTTTTTCCCAATTTTTTTTTTAAAATACAAAGTCATTCGCAATATTTTGTCTAAAACCGAGAAAAATGGTTCAAAACTAAACATTTTATTTTCAGACTAATCATTTAATGTAGAGGTTAAATAGAAAGGTAAACGATTTCGATAAATTTATACATGTTTTGAATAGTGTCGCCTTTTCAAAACAATAAAATAAGCCAAAAAAACGACTAACGAGAACGACGGGGGGGGGGGGGGGGTTATAAAATCATAAGATATTTACAATATCTTAGCATAGCAAATGAATGAAGTTTTAGCAACGATTAATTCAGAACAAAATCAAACGCTTCCAGGTTTGCGAAGCATAACTTGAGAATAGATTGAAGAAATTCTTTCACAGTGTTTATTTAAATAATTTTGAGGGGAAAACAAATTGAAAACGGTGAATAGAATGGGCTATTTCAAGGTACTGTAATTGTTTTTATTTTTGAATCGCTGACTATTTCCACACAGACTTCATCATTCATTCATTCATTCATATTTTATAGATTCCTTTCTAATCGTTAAGTCGTGATATGGAATTATGCACTATAAACTATTTACCAATCAATAAAATGGTTTTTCAAATGAAATTTGGGACGAAGTTTCTTTTTTCTGTGTTTGTATGTGAATGAACGAAACGTTGGTAAATTTATGAATTTTTTCTCTTTAAAAGATGTGTCAGAGTGTGGATTTCTTTCTCTCTTTCAAATTTATCAATTAGATGTAAATTAGCTGGCAAATGTGTATAGTTTCGAAAAGTGTAAATTCCAAATAACGATACTTGTCACATATCCCATACCGATCGCAACAGCGATCTCGGCGGAGAAGATGTACGTCATTTTCAAAATGTACCTACAATTATACAATTGTATTCACAAGAAATTCATATCTAAATAAGCGTTTTTTTTTAATTTAGCCATTTCACAGACTAATGTAATTAGAGACAGTCCAGGCGATTTGAATCCAAATAAATTCGAATTGAATAAAACGAGAAAATCAAAGTTAAATTGAGAAAAGAACATTATAAAAATGTGATGCGAGGAAGAGCTCGTTATTTTTTTTGTCTTTTTAAGTTGAATTGAAATTGGTAACCGCATGACTTAGCCGGAGAAAAACGAAATCACCATGATATTCCGAAAAAAGGAACATTTACACGCTGCTTCGATTGACTAAAAATTAAAATGTGTGTATCAATGATATTGCACCCCGACTACACTGTGGCCCCACATGAAGGTGGAGTGGGATGGGTGGTTGCGCGAAATCATCAAATCAGTTGTTATAAAGAATCCAATTCTACTCTCATTTCAGATGTGGATGGTATTTGTATGGGCATTCGATCGGAGGCCATCAATGAATTGATCGCTGATCGAAATAAAAAGAAATTCTTATTTTACACATTTATTACAAATAGCTTCTTGCAGATTAAAACTACGCCTCTATTCTAAATGGTTGTATTTATATTAGATTTGTTTTTTGGTTGGTTTCTTTGTTTATTATGTTCTCTCTTTTTCGTTCGAGACCATGCAAGTGTATTTGCTCTTTTTTTTCTCTTTCTCAATCCATGTGAATATTTTTTTGGCGTTATTTTATTTGTTTGTCAAATAATTTAGTGTTCTTTCATTCTCTCCTTTTTGCTTTAAGTTTTTTTTTTGGTTTTTGTATCACCTAGTGTGCATTTCAACTATTTTTTTATAAGTGGTTTTAGACACCAAATATCAATTGTTTGTTTTTTTTATTCTTTCTTTCTTCTGAAAATTCAACATGTTCACCATCACCAACGGAAAAAAATAAAATAAATTGAAAAACAATTGTTTCCATATTTCTGTTTCATTTAATAATTCAATTAGTATATCATTGAAACTGTTGCTTTTGTTGTTGTTTTTTTTTTGTTTCTGCTACCCGTTCAACTGATGTGATGCATTTGAATTTAGCGTTTGGTTTCTTAATCGTACATTAAATAATGTGGCATTCAAAATCGTTCAAATAAACTAAACAAATTAAGAAAAACAAATTAACAACGGCAAGAACAAAAAAAAAAAATAAACAAAGAAAAAACAATTCAAAACAAATTTATATTTTTTTTTCTCTTTATTTTTGTTGCTGCTGTTAGAATATTGTAGTATTACAAGAAATTGTGACGCCAGCGTCACAACAAAATAAATTTATCTATACATTTACATTTTACATCATAATAATATTCATGTTTTTTTGTTTGTTTGTATATTGATTGAATTAGTATTCACTTTATGTTTAAATATAATTAAATTTTAGTTTTATTAACTTGATTTTTTTTTCAATTCCAGCAAAAAAAATGTCAACGGAGTCACCGCAAAATGGAGATTACCGCCCACTCACTTCACTCATCTTTCATTTTGGGATTATTTTTCTTTTCACTGGATTTTTTTTTTTGGTTTTCCTCTTTCATTACGTTTAATATATGTTATTATTTGATGTGGTTTTTTGTCTCTTTTAAATTTTGGTTTACTTCAAAGTTCGTACGCATAAATATTCACTTTATAATAAATAGATTGTTTGCATTCTCCTAGTAAATATTGTTGTGGTGCAAATGGGGTGGCGTTTTTAGTTGTTGTTGTTGTTGTTATTGTAAAAATGTTGTTTAGTTATTGGATTGGATGCGTGTGAAAAAAATGTTGTTTCAAAACGGAGTGAATATTCAGAAGAAATGTTGCTGAAGATGAGTGTTTCGTTTGAACGATGAGGAAAAGGGGGCGGGTAGGTATCGTAACTACTACATTTCGATTGGAAAATTACGGCATCGTTATTTTCCTCAAAAATTGTGTCTATATGAAGGAATATGTGTGTCGGGCGGTGAAATGTCGTATGAGGTCGACTGTAGGTGTGATTGAAATTGCGGGAATTCTCAAAGAAAAAAAAAAAAGATTTACTTCGAGTTTGATTGAAATGATGTGATTTTGTTTGTCATATATAGAAAGAAAATTGTCGGATTTGAACATTCAGAATGGACATAAAAAATGAATAGATATCGAAATAAGGTCCCGATTTGTTTCGATAGCCATATCAGCGCTGTGTTGTCTGCAAAAAGTTTGTGTTTTTTTTTGTCTCTGAAGCGAATGTTGAACTGCGGTTTTTTTCTCTGTGTTCTGGTTTCTGTATTGATCTACTTTTAAACGATGGCTAAAAATTATGTTTAGTTTGAGAAATGTTTCTCTTATCAAAGCCGATACATTAACTGCCTCTATACTGGTTTTTAATTATGCAGGTTTTTCTTTGTCTACTGGAAATCTACACATCAAACTATTTTTTCTTATTCTGTTTTTACCAAGCACTGATTCGTGTTCTTGTGTTTGTTAGTCTCTCGTTGGGGACGAAAAATGTCTCGATTATTGTGGATTAAATTTATGTATGTATGTTGCTATTCATTTTTTCTGATGTATATGATGCTAAGTCTGTTCGTTTTTTTTTCCTTTCTGTCCATTTGAACGCTCGCATGTGTGTGAGTGAGTCTATTATTTTTTGTTGTTGGTTCTATCATATTTTATCACGACAAATAAGTGACGATTTCCCTATGCTTCTTCCATATACATTTGTCTCTCTCTCGTCTAAGTTAATTTAGTTTTACACATAAATATAAGAAGCTCATTATTTTGTGGTATTTTTTTTTACAATGATTTCATGGTCTGCATTCTCACTTTCAATGAGACAACCACAGCCCTATCGACCAATTTGATTAGCCAATCGAACAATGTCCAATGTGTGTATGTGTATGTTTATGTCTGTGGGCAAAAAGGGTATCACTAATTTTTCACTTTACGATTGTGGGCTGCTTTTTTTTACCTTCTCCGTTGTCGCTGCGACTAAAATTCTCTCTACACTATTTTCGCATTATATTAAATTCAAATTGGAACACAAATAAATTGGCTGCTCCGAACAGCACAATGAACCGATAACACAGTTCAAAATAAGTTCAGTATTTCTTCACAATGCTGTGCTGTCACTACACGGCTCTTGCCTGTCTCAATGCTTTGAAAGTAAGTTTTTCGCATGTTTTCTTTTCTTCTTCTTCTTTCTTTTCAGCTCTGTGCTTTTTTTCTGCTGTTGTTTAAAAATAAATATTAATATACAATTTCAATACCTATGAATTTAATTGTGTGTGTGTGTGTGTGTTAAATTTAGAGTTCTTATGATACATTATGTTCTATGCACACCAAGTTCATTATTATGCTAGAATTTAAATTAGTTGTTACGATTTCAATAAATTAGTTGTTGTTGTAGTAGATTTTTTTTTATCTTCATCATAATTGGTTTTTATTTTTTATTTTTTCCTCCAATGTTGGAAATAAGAGATGTTTCTCTTTCATATAATGTGCAATTTACAATTGATTTGTTTTGGTTTCATGTTTTCATCACACAAGTTCTACTTGAGAAAATTCGTGTCGAAGATTTGTTTTTTTTTTGTTAATTTATCAATTTGGTTTTTTGAATAATAATTTTGCCTATGAGTCAATGGTTAATTTTTCTTTTTTTTTTCTTGTTAATTTTTCACAGTTCTCGTAACCGTCATCAAAATCCTAATTACAATTTTTTTTATTAGAGTTTTTTTCCATTGATTTTTCTTTGTTGTTGTTGCAATTTTTTTTTCTTTCAATAATATATATCTAAAATTGTTAGCACTCCAGATTTCACGAGTAAATTAGTTAAAACACGCTCACTCACTTTACTTTTCACGAATAAAATCAAACGAATTGTTTTTTTTTTCATATGTGTGTATGTAGGTTAAAAATTAGATTTCTCAAACAAATTTTGTTTCTGGTTTTTGTCGGGGTTTTTCTGTTAGTGTATGTGCGAAAAGAAAAATGTCCGTTAAAATTAACATGTTCATTTGTTTAGAATATTTCCATTGTTGGTAGTTCTTTTCGGTGTGAAATGTTCGGCAAGCGACTTCAAAATGGATGCATGCATGATGGATGAAATATTTTTTTGTTGTTGTTGCTTTGTCTTGTTTTTTTTTCTTTTTTTTTTCTTTACATGAATGGAGTTTGTTCTCCGGATATGGTTTGAGAAATGAACGGGGTGATGGTGGGTGGTATCGGGCGCGCACCAATACAATGTTGTTTATTTTTTATCTCATCTGATTAGTAGAAATGTGTGCGCCTTTTCAGTGAGCTTACGACATAATCCAACTACTCTCCGTCACATTCCTGTATGGGTCGTTTGATTTTGGCTAGTTGATGGTTTACCAGCATTGCTGCTTGCACCGGCTGCCTCGTCATCATTATCATCGCCATTGTCGTCGTCGTCGTCGTCATCGTCATCGTCTTCATTGTCCGATTCTTCAACGGTTATCTGTAAGCAGCCAGACAAATGAGTTTACTACAATCAGAAAATCGCATCCAAGTTCGTTGTATTGACGTTTGGTCGAATTGGGTATAGGTGTTTGCGGACAATGGTCACAATATTACTCACCTGAAAGCGTATACGATCGTCAGTGGTGTCTTCGTCAGTTTGGGGCGGTGATGGTGGTATCATACTTTGGTAATAGTCACGATTCTCTTCGAGCATATCTAAAATATCCTGCGCATCTGGATGCACTAAATCGGCCCATGTCTCCCACAATGGATGCACAATGTAATCGATGAAACCAACTTGCGATTTTTCGATGGTTGCATTTTGTCGATCACACATCGGACTGATATCCATGCCATTTTCACGCTCTTTGTCACCTTGCAAAAAGAACTCTTCCATCAGGAGGGCCACCCATCGTTTGTACAGCGGCAACGGCTTTGTCGGATTACTCAAATCGGCACAGTGTACCAAATTCTCTAACACCTATGCAAGCGAAATTGAAATATGATAGAAGAAATTGTCGATGAGCATTGTATAAAAGTTGAGAAAAGTTTAGAGAAAAAAAGGGTTGATGCAACGACTTTCTATAGAAAATCCAATCCCGAAAGTTAATGAAAATTCCATTTTTCTTCTTTTATTGCAAACGAAAAACTCACCTGAATTCGATCCGTGTAATTATCTAGTAAAAGTACGCCCGAACCAGCCACCTTTTTCGTTTCCACCATCGTCTTCAGATCAGCTAGCAGACTCATATGTTTAGACATGTCCGTTGATAAAACAATATCGATAACCATTTTGCGCAACGTTTGACGTTGTTTTCTGTTTTGCGGGCAGAAAAAAGAGAGTGAGGCAAATGTGCAAAAACAAGACATTAAACAGATCACAAAAACCCATTTCATTTGCAAATTTATTACATTTAATTATCAATGTTCAGCATTGTATGCGCCAGCGAAAAGAACATCTCTAATGAGTTTTCTTTCTCGCTTTAGAATCACAGTTGATGTGGGGCGGGGACAAGGTTAGAAAATGGTGCTATAAAAACACCTCACACTATCGCCACTCACAATAAATCACTGACGCAAAATTACAGCGCACGTAGTGAAAATGCAACGACTCGGTATGTTCAACAGCAAAATGGTGTATGGTGATTATTGGATTAGAAGTCAAAATGCTAAACGCAACTACAAACCATCGACCCGTACTATTCATACTGTTTATATGTGAACACCCTTTGGATTTTTGGTTCAACTTATATCATTCGCAATATAATTTACCGTCATTATTTTCAATCGAATGGCTTTGAAATCAATTAATTTTCTGTGGCACAACGTACATTTAATTAATCGTGTGGTGAGTCCGATGCCTGTAAGCCCGACCAACGTAAAAATAGACTCACTTAATGAAAAATGTACATTGGTTTGTACATAGTAAAACCCACAGCCAAACATGTTTTCTGGTTTGCTTCCACTTTAAAACATTTGCAATAAAAAATTCAAAGAATTGTTCAATTTAAATACAGGAATGCAGCAACATCGAAACAAAAAAAATCTCCACTATTTCAATGGAATCAATGGGATTTATTTGAAAATACGTCACGTCGCGTAAATATATGTGAAACAGATGCTCGGTTTTTGGCCCGTAGCTGTACTAGTTGTACTTCTGTTAGCTATGCGCCGCACTTTATCGCGGTTGTTTACACAACAACATCTTATAATGCAAGCATCGTTAATCTCACCACAAAACCAATATGCTATCGCCATTCGATATGGTCATCTCAATAGTAATTAATTTGGAACTCACTAATCGGATCAAATATTCGATACTCGTCGCAAAATTTATTGCCAAATAGCCATTACGCAGTGAATGTAATGCATTCATCAAATAGAATAGTCGGTATAGTCAATGTCTAATACGATTAAAGTGACTAATTTCAATGGATATTGATGTCAGTTATTTGGCACAGCAAATGAATGGATGCATAGCAGCCGTAAAGTTACAGCGAATTACACCATTCGAGAAAATGATGGGTTTGCTCTTTCCAAACACTTTGACATGAAGCGCAATTTTTGAGTTAATCCATTCGAACTCGATACTAAACTTTTGTGAGCGACCTTGAGACGATTTTCGGGAATTTTATTTCTCTTAATCCGGCTCGACGATTAATAAAGAATTTCAAATCATAAAAGAAAATCCAAGAATCTGTTATTTTGGTCATCACACCCAGAATATTAAATTCTATCAGACTCTTCGAACATTTCATTCCATTTCATAATCAAAATTCCATAATCAAAGTTCCATTTCATTTCTCTAAATACAAAAGTCAATTAGCGCAACTTCGTTCTCAACAAAGAATTTCGAGATATAAAAGAATCGCGACAAATCACGAATGTGTCATTTTTCTCATCGAATTTCAGATTTAATCTATCACATCCCCTGAACTATGCATTGAATCTCGTAAAATCCAAGCATATTCGTTGCCATCATTCCCAACACGATGTGAATGTGTTTCAATTGACACAAAACCATCTTTGATTTATTGAAATTGTTGATATGGTTGACAGCAGTGGCAATCTAATATTCTGGTTTTATTCGTGATGATGCGAAATTGGCGCAATATTTCTGGTTCGTGGTTTATCCTTGTCGTTTGTTGCCCATTAAAATCCCAAATGGATTGACTGTGTGCGCTGAATAAGCTTATGCTGCATATTACTGATAGGTAAAGTAAACACATGAACACAACTATTGAAAGTGAATGGAGTAAATTAAAATGCCAATTCCTGTGGAACGAAAACACAAAATCTGATAATGCACCCGAAACGTGCGGTGGCATTCAATGAGTTCGCTCGAAAAAAAAGGAGTTTGTCATTTGAAAAGGTATGCTTTGGTTGGTTGGTTGGTTGGTTGGTTGGTTGTGGTAACGCTTTCATTGAGTTTGAACCATAGCTATGGTTTTATAGAAATGTTTTATCTTATTTCATTTTGCACGTGTATCGAGTTGTGCGGATTTACTATCAGCCAAAGTGAATCCTTTGTCAACTGATGCGACCAATGCTGTTAGTATTAATGCCATTCAATGAAGAGCTTGAACAAAAACCAAACGCGTTACTTACTTTTGTATATTACAAAATATATCACATCCTTGATTTTGGAGTAATTTAAAGGCAACAGCTAAATGATGATTTTCCAAAACAGATTCGTCATTATACATTAATGCTAGTTCGGAACCTGAAAATACCATACAAATGAATAAATAAATTGGGATCCGACTCCGATGTACTGGATATATCCATTATAATGGAAATAAAGAAAAAGAGTTTGTGTTGAAAAGATAGCTTACTTGAATTTATTAAAAATTGATTAGTTAAACCGGGATGATCGACGTCATGTATGCAGGCGGCGAACAGTGCACCGCAAATTTCAATCGGTGTAAAAACGCCCTCGAGCGCCGGTGTATTCAGCAGAACATTTGTGCTTTGTGTGACATCGGCCGCATGCATTGAATTATGAAATGGATTGTCTTTGACGTAATGATCCTCTAGTGTGGCCATGAATGCAAGAAAAGTTTTCGGTGGTATCATAAGAGCTGTTAACAAGTCCCTACCCTGTAAATACATGTCAAAATAGTATGAGTAGGGTGAGTGGGCATGTGTGTATGTGCCAAATGGAATTACGTTTCATCGTTGAAAGACCAAGAGACAAATCAAAAACAAAACATGTATGCACTGTTTAAAATTTACGCCTAAATACAGACGTAATTCTGGCTAGTATACGCTCTCAGTCGATATTCCTCCGAATAAGTGGTATTCCAGCCATTTTCGCCTAGATTTCAGACGAATATAAGACTGAAAGTAGATTTTTAGTTGAAGTTTTAGGTTAATATAGACGTGAGAGCGTATACCAGCCGAAATTTTGTCTATAGTCGCGCGTAAATTTTAAACTATGTGGGGAAATCTTCACAAATTTACCTGAAACACGGTGTATGCGACACATGTCAACGGACGAAGACAACTTAATTCACTTATTTTAAATATATCGATGCCCCATTGGTCTACTTCGCCTAAAAGGGTACCGAGCGCATTCTCGTGCGGCGTATCAACGCCGAATGTTGGCAAACGCTCGCCCGTGAATGAATTGGTGTGCGAGAGTAATGGACGTGATACACCTGATATTTGTGACATCGGTGGACCGCCGAAACGCGGTGAACGGCTTCGGTTCTGGTTCTGATTCTGGTTCTGGTTCGAGTTCTTTTGCGCATTCATTTGTGCAATATCATTCTCATCGATTCGTAGCGATGGCAAATCAAATTCTTGTTGCTTGTCTGCAAAGAAAAAGAAAGGGAAATGAAACCAAAATCGTTTTAATACAATTAATCACATCGTATGAACAGCGGAAACACAACGAAAAGGACAAAACGGTTTGGCAAATTTGGTTGGGAAGACGCTCGTTTTACTCGCAAAATTGAGTTATGTTGTTCGACGTAATGAAATTACCGCTATGAGAAATTCTTGCGAGCAGCATTTATGGCCAAAGAAGATTCACTTGACAAAAGAAAAAAAAAAAAAAAAAATTCTTTTGCTCTCCGATGATGTATAATATAATAACAAAGCATTCTCATTTTTAAATTTAATATTTGATGGCAGCTGTATGGTTCGCGCGTTCGCTCGCTCGCTTGCTCGCGATAGAGAGAGAGAGACGCTCATTAATTAAATTGTTTATCATTTTCGCATGCTGACATCAATTGGCTTTGTCCTTATGCGTCCCAGATACACGCATATATTTGCGGTCGAACACTCAATGGAATTTCGTAATTTGTGACGCAAGTGGCTTTTACAACGCTCGCCGCGTACTATATAATCGAAACGTGTTGTGTTGCTTTTTGTTGGGTTTGAATTTTGCATTCCGTGACACTGAAACTGAAAACACATTTCCACGTAGTAGCGTAATTGTTAAGTCTCAAAAGCATCTTAAAAACATCAGCCAACTAGGCAGCCAAAGTGGATTTCATCTCTCAAATATACATATTTGAGCATCACTTTGCGTAACGGTATAAGTTTTTCATTAAAAAAAAAACTTGCTATTATAAAATATGACACTTGCTCTCTCTTGCGCTATCTCTTTGTTTGACTTGCTCTCTCCCTTTCTGTCTGTCTGTTCCACTCCACGCGCTAGATCGCTAACTGTGTCGTGTCATGCGATTGTTGTGTGTAATTAAAATCTTCCATTTGACTAGCAAAGAATTTCGAAATCATTCAATGGTTACCAGGTGTTGGATGGAAATGAGCGCACGCACGTGAAAGCACGAGGGTGCCGCTTGAGCTGTACGCGGCCTCAGCACCGCAAAATGAAGAGCAATTTGTGTGATGTTAGCGCGCAATGATTGTTTCGAAAAGTATATCATCTTCTTCAAGCGTCGTCATTTCTTTGCCAAAGCCATTCGCTTTTTTCTTCCACCCACCATTAAATGAAGTGATAATTTGTTGGAAATTAAAATAAAGGATTTTCACACCACTTACCCAAGAATGTTGAACAAATGTATTCTGAGATTTGATTACCAGATCTGCTTGACTCACTAAAGTGTGATAACTCTTTATTCAGCATCCGTTTAAACTGTGAAAATGAGATTCAAAATAAAAGATACGTGAATTCAGTGTGTCTCAGCTGGATTTCATGTGATGACAACTAGAGAAAATGCCGTGTAATATTCCATACCTTAAGCGATGCCATGTCAGAAACACTGCGATGTGTTTGAATTGTTTCTAATTGATCTAAACACCAGTCTAACTCTTCCATTGTGTCCATTGCTAAGCGAACGTATTGCTCATCGCCCGGCGCTAACGGTTTATTCAACGGTGTAGCAGCCGCCCTCTTTGATCTGTTCGCCGAAAAAAAAGGAATTACCCCAACCATCAAACGCATTAATAAACGGGTTGGAAAATACATTGAAATGGATGCACAGCACTTACTTTGATGTTGAAACATTTGTCAAGCTTAAAAAATTGTTGCGAACCGAACGAAGACTGGCCAAAATTTGAGCAAACGGAGTCACAATCAAGTCCTCACCACCATGGCTGCCATGAAAGAAATTTAAAAGAGATGTTCATTATAAAATTCTGCACCGATTTGCACAAAACAAAGATTTGGAGGAGGAGCAAAAATTCCGTGGTGATGACGAAAACATAAAGAATTTCATAATAATAATATAAGCGATGAGAACGTCAGTAGAGGCAATATAATAAATACGATCTCATTTGCATTCCGCTACATTTACTTTTTCCACAAGCGAAAAATCGGATAACACGGCATTCAATTCAATGGCTTTTACACAAGACCGATTTTCACACGAGAAACCATCGCCGGGAAATCGTAATGAAGTGAAATGCAAAAGGTTCGTCTGTTGCATGCTAATTTCGATTAAAAATTCAACACACATACACCTAGGTGCATGTGCACGATATAAGCTAGTGGCAAAATGTTCTTATTAGTTATGTATATAATGTATGTATTAGCTAAACGTCTAACCAATTGCAATATAATTTGTGCTGAGCGCTGCGACGCACAGCATAAAATTATTCTTAATTTGATTAACACTAAAAATGTTGGCACTGTTGAAATTTTGTGTTAATTCGTGTTTAGTTTATGACAAATTGATGAATTTATTCGAATGGGATTTAAATTGAATTGTCAGCATCATCAGCATTGACGCTAAGTAATCATAAAAATGGAATCAAACATGAGCATGAGCAAAGAATAAGAAAAACCAATTTTCAGACTCAACAATGTCTGTCTTTTTTGCTTGATATTTTGTAAAATATGTGGTGTTTGATGGATAAAAGAAAAACAGGAGAAAATAGGCGAGAAAATGTATATGTGTGGATGCCAATTGGGGATTTAAAGTCGAAATTAAGAGAAGAAAAGATATAAAATCAAAATGAATATGCGAAAAGTTAACAGCAACGGCAACATTGTATATAGAGAGGAACATACAAGCCTTGTACATGCAACAGTTACAAATGCAATGCGAAAGCGTGCTTCACTAAAATACTTTGTCGATTATAGCAAATCTACTTTATAGCATTCATCTGCTCGCTCGCTCACTCACTCACCCATGCCAAGTCTTCAACCCGGCCACCCATCCATTCACACCGTACACCAAAAGTGCACACACAGCACAATATGCAACATTTACATTAGACGATAACATTTACATGGGGATAAACAGCTTGGTAAATGCAAAACATTTAATACCATGCAATTCTATTCATTTCCACGATAAAATTAGGATTTAATGCAATATAATATTGAACGAGAAAGGAATGAGTGTGTATGTTCGTTCGTTCGTAGTCAGGCGGCGGACTTAAGCACATAAGCCCATTTTACATTTGTCGTGGTGGTGTCATCAATTCACGGTGCGGGGATTTTAATTTTTGAATAAGTTCCACTTTGGTATGGCATGGAAAAAGGTTTTTTTTCTTCTTGAATGATAAACCGACTGTGTGATGCATCTTTAGTTGCGTACGCGAAATCCAAACGTTCCCAGCAGCAACCGCATTTGCAGCAGCAGTAGCAATGGTGATAGCCGCAGGAACATTAGTGTCTTTAATGACCTCTGACAAATCCAAACCGATTCACGCTCCAGAAAATCCGGAACAGGTCATCAATAAGCGTAATTATGGATCGCCAACCACTTAACAACTGCTCACATTCAATTTTCTATGAATAGATATTGCCTGGGAAAAGCCACGTAGTCACTTGCTCTCGTCCAACATTCGATGGGGTTTGTCTTTATGGCAAAGTTTTGGTTTCACCACTTTTCTCACCAATTAATTGTTATGAACTGACTGAATCGATCTCTCTCACTCTCACTCTCTGTTTTTCACCGCTCGTTAACCGATTTCGACGATCAAGACCTATTTGCCGCAAACCGAATGCGTCACAAATTACGTTCTATTACTTTACACAAATACCACACGAAATACGTATACGCGTGTTCTCATCAGCATTCCTTTAGTTTGGTTATAAATAACAAAAATATCGATTCGATCGAACCATTTGTTTATTCATCTCTTTTTTGCGTATTTTATTTTCTCGTAAGGCAATTTTGCAGCTACGTAATATACGTGGTTCAATATATCGACCTCAATATTCCATTGAAAATTTCCCAACGTTAATTCAGCAGGACATCATCACGGTAATGTTTCTTCCATCGTTGATTTTAATATTTATGCAAAATGTCATGACATTTAATAAAAAGTGTTCCAGTAGAAGTTTTTATCGACCAATTTCGTTTCGTTTGATTTACATGCTGCAGCAATTTGTCCCGTTCCTCTTATCTCGTTTGCAGCAATTTGCCCCGTGGCGCAACAATAGCATCCGGTCAATGGAATTTATTATGCGATTGCTTTAAAGTTTATATCGTGAGAGTTAAAATCATTTCAAAGTTGTAGCAATACTGCATAGGGCATGCATAGAGAAATTCGATCAATCTGACACAACATAACAAGCACAAAGTAACTGTAATCCATGGTTGCATCGCAACTATAACCATATTTTATGCAGAATAAAACGGTTTACGAAATCGGATTTAATCGTATTTCATCATTGCGTACTATCTCAATGTTGCTTCTGCCTCAGCACACACACTCGCACTCACTGCAGCAAAAAAAAAATACGAACGAACAAAACGAGTTCTGTTCGTCGAGTATGTGGATTATGCACAAATTTTTTTTTTCATTTGAAATAATCTCTTGACAGAGTTGTTATAGTTTTGAATTTTTCCATATTTTTCATTTTCAATGTTATTTCAAAAGTTTTGTACAATTTTTCTTGGGCTCACACCATAAGACCGTGCGATGAAACTCTTGCTTCTCGAACGACAGCAACGACGACGACGAAAAATATCGGCCGAGAAAAACGAGACAAACACACATACGAGCGGATAGTTTGAAAGCAACTAAAAAGTAAAGTTTTCATGCAATGTCGCTTACAAACACCACCACCACCACCACCAGCCGCAGCATCTAATTCGAAATTTCTGATGACATTTTTTTGTTTCTATTTTCTCTCTGTTTGTGTGTTCGGAAAAGAAAAAGAAAACAAACTGAAACAGAGATATAGAGATAAAGCGCGAGAATATAGAACACAACACGCTACGGATGCTTGCCCGATACAAGAAAGAGTGAGAAAGATATGGAAAGAGAGTATTGTCTAACAGAGTCTGGGAACACATTATATGAGCTCATTCAGCGTCGCTATACATACGAATTCAGCTGTTAAAACAAAACTCAAAAACAGTTCTGATGACAAAAGAAAAGTCACTCATTCCACACTCTCGTATCAATTTCTATCGGACCAAACTATAAATTTATGATAGAATTTTTGCGATGCTCAACTATCCGACTTTATGTCCATATTTGTGTGTGTGTATGTGTGTTGAAGTGGTTGGCATATGAAATGATTTACACAAATCAGCACGACATCGGAAAATCGTCTGTGTTGGGGGCGGTTCATATGGAGATAGAAATACGGCAATAAATTTCTTCTTTTTTTTCTCTCTCTCGCTTTTGTCGTGTGCTTGTGACGTACACGATCGATTCATTTTCCAGAACAACGCTCTGGCTGTGCAATCGATCGAAGCATGGCCGTGTTCCCTTTGTTTCACAGATATTCCAGGTTCTCATTTTGTCGACTGAATTTTCGAGCGCGAGTGAATACAAACACGTGAAATGCACTGAATTTCATCATGTCTCATCGATGAACTCGATGTCTTCGGGGCGCTGGCAATTCGAGATAGCTCCTTTTCCGCTTTGCTAGTTTCTTATTTCATTCCTTATGTGTGTGTGTGAATGGTTCAGTGGATGTTGTTTTATTTGTATCCTATTCAAATGCTGATGGCAATATCTTTCAACTCAACGCACGTTCGTTCGTTCGTTCGTTTGCTCGCATCTCTTCTTGCAAAACGACAAATCCAGAGAATGAGCGCGAGAGAGAGAGTTGCGTCTTTTCATTTCATTTTGATGTTTCTTTTAAGTTCTCGAACCGTTTTCATCGTCGTTCGGTCGTCGGCCAGTCGCTTCTTCATTAGGTTTGTTTCTATTTCATGTCTCATTAATATTTCAATTAAATACTCATTTCTACAACCTCATTAACGTTAACAAACTCCAAGGTTGTGGTTTCTGAGACAATTCCCATGAAAACCACAACAAAATAACAGTTTTGCTGTTGTACCGCGCGCAATCTCACTCACCAGGTGGGGTGACGCATGGGTTTGAGTTTTTCTCTCGTAAAATTTACTCCATTGTTGCTGATTGGCCGATAAAATAATGGCTCTTAATTCAGACGCTCACCATAAAGTCCCAACGAATATACAGATGAAAAAAAAAAAGATTATGCAAGAGCAACCCTTCATTCGCAGTCGGCCTTATCGTGTCGAAAGACGCATTCAACATTCAAATGTCATGAAGAAAGTGTAATCTACAACAGACTTGTTTCTCTTTTTTTGCAGTCTCTCAATGTGCGCAAAATCTCTCTATACAATGTTTTTATGGTAAAGAAATTATGACGACAAGCGCCCAGAATGGGGGAAAGCCGTTTCCTAAGAGTGACTGTTGAAAATGAAAGCAGTGCCTAATGAATATACAAAAGAAGTGTTCAAGTCTTGAGCAAAGAAAGATTTAAGTTTTAAGAAAGTTACGCGAGCGATGATATTTCAACGTGGTTCTTGATTTTTCAACTGATTTAATTAGATATGCGACTTTTCAGCCACACTAAAGCTATGCAATTCAAGCAAATGAAGTCCAAGCCATTTATGCAGGAGAAAAAATATTTTGTATTTTGTTCATGAAGATAGCCGTTTTAAGCACAATGCATTTGAAGTGTTTCCACTTTGAGAAATATACATGTATGGAATCATGTATATTTTCACATGGGGAATGGATACTGCTCAAGGGAGTGAAAATGGTTGGCAGTAGTAGCAGTAATCGGAAAATACGTATATATAAATGTTTATTTGAGCCAAAGCTCAATGAGCTGAATGCAACTACAAGTTTATAGACTATAAAATAATGTACGTCATTTAAATTGCTAAACCAAACTATTCTTGCTAAGCTCTAGAGCCTATTGAAAACTTTGCATCTCCGAATATAAAACAAAAACCATTCTTTTATGGATGAAGCGTTTCGATTGAACAAAAGCTGAATTCGCTTAATATTGCATAAACTATGGTATATTCACGTATGTATATGTTTTTCAGACATGAAAATTCGACAGCCAACAGACAGGAAATAAAATAATAAAACAAGCGCCCTGCATTTTTTCTAATGAAAATAGTTCAATTGACGTTAATTGGATGTTTGCATTTTGTTGTGAAAAAAAAGAAAATTGGGTTAAGTTGGGTGGGGTTGATCAAACAAAAAGCTACAAGATGCCAATTTTGGAGCCAAAGTAAACAAATGAACATGAATATGGACGGTCAGACGGTAAATTTGAATGGTGTAGATAAAGAGAAACTTATGCAAGCACTAATTAAGATTTGGAAAAAGTTTTCTTTATCGCTCGAAGCGATCATTAAAATGGATTCACATAAGTTGCTCTTTCTCGCACCCAACCGGAATATGTGTGTGTGTGTGTATTGGTTTGGGAATGTGCATATATGTTAAAATCAATCTTTAGCAGGACAATGGAACCGAAAACGGAAAAAAAAGAAAAGAAAAACTCTAAATACGTACGATCGCTCGGCTAAAACCTGTTGCTCTTGCTCTTTAAACCTGAAATTGTAACACGTATAAAGATTTTTTTTTAAACGATGGTAGACTTTTTGTTCAACTCGGTTATCATTCAAACAGAGAAAGACATTATATACTTTGTTTGCTTTTGTTTTGTTTCAAATTCAATTTAATTAAACAGTTAAATGATTAATCAAACAGGCTTTTCATCTAGATATTGCGAACAAACTCATATCAACACCCTATACACACGCAATGCATTCAAATTGAATGCCAATTGTCAATGAAATACAAAAGAAATTAATCAATCAGCTCTATAAATTAGATATCTACTTTCATTCGCAATTTGTACACGCTCAAATTCATCTACTCTTATAGTAAGCAGCTAGAACAAAAGTATTTTTTTTGGGATGTTTTTGGTTATTTTTTGCTTTCAATTTTTCAGTTTTCAGGCTAAACAATGGCAACTATTCAAATGGTTGTGGTGTTAAAAGCGGGATAAATTCACGCGGTTTCGAAAAGTTTGCAGGTGTTGAGAGTCGAGACGGAGGAATTCAACTTGAGTCTGAGGGTCTAGTCGTTGAGCGAGAAAGAAAAATGAGTGCTAAAGCTAATCAAAGTTGAAGCTAAAAACACAATGCCAGACGGATATTTATTATCCAGTGGAGAAGTTTCCATATTATTCGTAACTTTTCTCGCCCATTCTCATTGGGTACGATTATGAAAAATGGCCAGTTTAAAGTTGCAAAACGTTTTCAATGGACGGTTTTTTTTTTCATTTTTTTTGCCATCTTTTCCCATTTTTCTACAATTTTTTCCAAAGAAAACACAAAAGAGTCTGGCTTACGGCCGACCATTTTTTGTTGCTCCCCCAATAAAACCGAATTAGTTGGTTGTTTACAGTCGTTTCGTCAAGGGGGAAAAGAAAATGTTTGCAGTCTTCTTTTCTTTCCACTTCAATAGCAAATATCATATAATAATAATACATTGAAGGCAATCAGAACCACTCATGGGTAAACATGAGGAAATTTCGCTCCATTCGAACTGTTCATTCATCATTCGATTTGGCGGCGGCGTTGTCGAGGGAAAACACGTAAATTTGCTTTTATTATGTTGGTTTGGTAGTTTTATTTCCGAAAATGTTCAATATGGAAAATTTGTTTACCACGAACATCAACATTGACTTTACCGTTTTACTAGCATTAACTCGATTCCACTTCCTATAGATACTTCGTGCAACATTTCAAATCACGTTATTAATTTTCGTTTGCCTGGCGATAAATTGCGATAAACTATTTTCGGGAACGAACAACCTTTTAAGTTGTGCTTGAACGGTTTGCCGACTGCAGATAGAGCAAATTCCACAGCACAATTTTGTAATTCGTTGAAAATTGTGTTATTATAATTTTCATTTAGCTATTTTTATTAGCATTTGAAAATAAAGTGTTCAGCTTGAATTATATATATAAAATGGTGGACAGGCATTTGTGAAAGAATGTATATAAATTGGTCGCGTGTTAAACCACTATTTACAAATGGAAAAACGAAAACTCAGACAGACACGGGGAATACATTTATGGATGAATATATTTACATAAATAGAGTTATATAGAGAGTTAGGTTTCGCGGGACTTAGAACAAACACACCGAAAAAAGGGATTTGTCAATTTTCAATACAACAAGACAAACCCAAAGTAAACTGGCAACTGCAGGAAGGTGAGGGTGGATGAAAAGGACTTGCACAACAAATTGCTGACAAAAATTACAATATCAATAACAAAACGATCAAAAAAGTTGCTTTCGATCGATGACCGAAAAACAAACGAAGAACAATTATATTTTACAAAACGCAACACAAAATAGAAATATGTTTGGTATAATTTTCTGGTCTTTCGTTCGTATCTGTATAAAAATGTGGGAAAAATTCTAGGGAAAGTCGGTCAAAAATGGGAGATTGGCCAATTCGGTTTTGTTTTATGTACATATTTTTGTTGCTGTTTCAATTGTACGGTTTGTCGGTTGAATGTGTGTGTGTATCTTCAGACAACCAGAGAGTTGCACCCTTTGCCAATTTCGTTCGCATTCCACAAATGTTTCATATTTTATGCATATTTTTGGAAAAAGCATACTGTGTATTTAACGAATGGACACATCAGTAATAATTGAAAATAGTAATTATTGTTCTGTAAATTCCATTTTTGGCTTCAACCCTTCTTGTGATCGATGTGCGAACGATGAAAAACAATTCGATGTCATAAATTGTGTGTAATATTCATGGAGAGAATTTTGTTCCCATATGAACCATTTGCGGAGAAATTCAGTGTATAGTGGAGATGTGCGGAGTTCGGCGGAGATTCATGGCTACTTAGATGTATATTGAACAATAGAAATGTGAATACAGCAAAGAGTGCTGTTTCGCTCACACCAGCGTATGTATGGTATCTCCGCTGAACTATATTTCTCCGCAAATGGTTCATTTGGGTTGTCGTTAAATTTACATTAAAAATGCATCAAACGTAGTATTGGTTCGCAACATCACTTCCACATATGTATATGAAAAATCGATGAATAATTACACGTAGCCATGCATTCGTGGATATCATAAATACTGTGGTGTGATCGGTATGGGAATTATTATTATTTGTAGTATGCCTTTAACCGTTTATTCGAAAATGCAAACATAATAAAACCGATGAAGTGAATGCGAATTATCCGCAATCGGAAATTTGGATTTTATTTACAATCTCGTCGATTAATTTTTCGAATACAGCCTGAAGTTAATTGAATGCAAAATACAAAATACGAAATAAAAAATGTGGCCGAATATGGCTGTTAATAGATGAATGCCAATGTTGCGCATTGTTTGGATGAAATTGCATCAAAATGCTGCATCATTTAACATTCTCAATATTATTTCAGTTTCGAGATTCGTGCAAGCATTTTCCATACAAACTTCACCCACAATTGATGGCCACATTCTTGCATTCGAATCAAAAAAGAAAATTATCTCTCAATAAAGCTCAAAATTATAATCATCCCATTACTACGAAATTAGTTATTATAAAATCGTTGTAACAAACCATTAGGGGGAATAAACAAACATTAACACGATTTCTAATCAAAACGCAATGCAATGAAGAAATAAAGAGAGAGAGAGATAGCGAAAAGGAAGAGAATCAGTCGTCAAATAAATTAAATCCATGTATCCAAACAAATTGTAATAAGTGGCCAATTTAATTTGGAAATGGAATCAATTGTAGCGGTAACATTATGTTATCAAAAGAAAACACACACCAACGAAAATAGTTCAAACGAAAATAAACAAACGAGAGTTAATTATAGAAAAGAGTGATTAGAACACTACCGAAAACACATCAGATTATTAATTTCAGGTAAAGAGACACTTACTCTTCACGTATGGGTGCAACATTTGCAACATTGCTCCGACTTTCCCTATTTTATTTTATTTTTCATTTCATTTTTTATTCATGTGGTCAATGCAGGTTTGTATTTTTGATCAAGTTTCGATTGGTTTTGTTTCGAATTTTGATAAAAATGTTTTTTTGTTTTGTGTGTATAATAAGTAACATAACAATATGAAAGACATAGAGAAGAAAAAAAAAATATAAATATGAAATACATTTTGATTAGAGTGGAAGAAAAGGGGTCAAAGTACTAACTAAAAAAGCAAAAAAGATTTTCATTAGATTCGATAAAAGAGGTATCGGGGATTTGGGCATTTATTCTGTTTTCCCTTAATTGGATTTGTTTTTCATCTTCGCAATGGGACTGCTCCAAGGTTTTTCTAAATTTAATTTAGCTGTTGTTGTTTTTTTCTTGTTTTTGTTGCCGATTCGATTGGTTTTTTTTAAAACTTTGTTGAGAGAAAATAAGGGGATGTATAGTATAAGACAATGGCTTACCTTTCGCTTGCAATGCTGGAATTTCGAGACATTGATTTTGGCGACATTTCAAAGTCGGAATCGGATCGATAGAGAAATGATTCACGGCGTTGTGGAAGATTTTGTAAAACAAGACCCGCGCTCGGCGAACCACCTTCCAGCGGTGATCGTGCTCCCTGTCCATTTTCAACATCAAAACTGTATACGAGAAAGGGGAGGAAAAAAAATCTCATTAAAATTTCGTTAAATTTGGTGTAAGGTAGAGAAAATTATTTTTTGTTCATTCGCTCGTTGCGACGAATAGCTCGAATTTCATGTGTTGATCTGTGTACTAAGCACATTATTTGGCATGTTAAATTGCCATTTTGATTGACAAATGGCCAATGTTTGCTCCGTTGAAATTGCAATTATTCTGTTTTTTTTTCTCGAAATGAACGAGAAATGTGTAATTTCGTCTATTGCTTGGTTGAGTCAACAAAAGTGTGACATCATAAAAAAACTCTTTTCGAACGTTCGAAAAGCCATTTCAGACTCATAGCTGGTTTATGTCAGCTTTATATGCATGTTTGTGGCTGTGCATCATGTGTGTATGTGTACACAAATTGTAATTGGATACGAGCCAAACTGATGTAAATGCATTCTCGGCTCACAAAAAAAAATCAATGGCTAAGCTTTGATTCGTATGTAATTTGTTGTGATTTACCACTAGCCATCGTCTCTCTATCACTCGACGTCAAAATGTGATTTTAATACTACTTCTACATTGATCTCGACCTGTCTCGCGCACACATACACCATTGCTGACAGTTAAATGTCCTCATTTTCGTCGAACACACGCTTCCCACAAAGGCGCGCGCGGGCGCTCATATTTCGGAAAATTCACAACAACTCACATGACATCGATATATCGTCATTTCGAAAACATTCTGTAATTTTTCGCTGTTTGTTTTTCTGTTATTTTATTTATGACACAACCCAATTGAGCATCCCGCTCATCTTTCACCAAAAAACAATTCGAGTGAAGTGAATAAAAATAGTGAATCCGTTAATAAAAATCGATGTTTTGAATTTTTCGTTCGAATTTATGACATTTTGACGCGATACAGAAATGTAAAAATACCTTCGTTCCACTTGCGTGTGCCGTGGCGCCCGAGTCATGCTGCTGATATTTTTAGTGGCGGTCGAAACAGAATTTTTCGACTAAATTGGTCGAAAACTACTTCATTGACACAAATCACAAGACCAAATAGCCGCATTCTTCGAAGAAATTCTAAATGGTTTTTTGTGTAATTAATAAGGCCATTTGACATATTAGATTTGTTCACGTTCGTTTGCATGAAAATACCAGAATCAGGTGATTTGCTTGAATCGAAATAAAAAGTTAAAACTGATGAAGTGAAAAAAAACCAGAAATATAAGAGATTCTCTGAAGCATCATTCTTGATTCATTTGAGGTTTTTCAAGCATTGACATTAAAAACAAAAGTTTGAAGCGAGAATGAAAAAAGGCAGCAGCAGCAGCAGTAACAACTTCAACCAAAGTGTGGTTAAATGTGATGAAACCCCATTTTCAACTGCATCCAACTAGATTGACGTCATTTAAATGTATATTTCGAGCGATTTATTTTCGCTTTTAAGCAAGCTATAACACAGAGATATAGACAATTATACAGAATGGCAAACATAATTAAATTACGGTGTCAAAACTATTTGATTCAATAAATCACATCCGAGAGGGAAAGAGGGATAGAGAGTCCGGAATTTACCTGATTGCGCGCTTATTCAACTCAGGTTGGCTCGTGGCATTTGGTTCAAATTAAATCGATTTTCACCAGCATTCGTTTAACAACCAAATGACAAAAGCGTGAAATGGAATTTAAAAAGTGGGAGAGGGTGAGAGATGCTTTTTATTGGCAAATTTAATTCAATCCAATTGTAAAATGTCAGCATTCATTTTTCGTTGTGATTCCGTCATGCATTGTTCAACGATCAAGCTCATCAAATTTGATTTGAAACGACGACGGCGACCAATTTCTGTTTGAAATGTGTTCACAACTGTCGACTTCTTCTGATTATAATAAGCCAATAAGAATTCGATGGATTTATGGCCGTACACTTGAAAGTAAGTGGAGTTTATTTTTAAATCGATGAACCAACATATTTAATTACATTGAAGTCCAGTGCTTTTGGTTTGGAATTATCACAGAATCTATGTTTGATGTATTTAAAGAATTGATTTAATTGGACCCAATTGGAAGGATGAAAAAAAAACATCATGTTAACGGACTATGGAGTCTGTGATAAGAGCTGAAAAATGGAGGCTATGAATTAAAAGCATACCAACGACGACACTCGAATAAACATTTGTTGAGAAAACATCTAATGAGTCATGGATTCAAGCACTCCAGTTCTTTCGAACGGATTCGCCGAATTGTGTGCGTCCTATGCTGTAAGAATAGTCTATTACGACTTTTCAGCAGGCACTGACACGACGTAGAACTAAGTTCTATAATGGTATTATTATTACTGAGCAACTCACTCCCCGAATATATATGGAAGCCGCAATGCTAATATACTTTTCTTTGTGAATTCGTCGCCTTGCGAATTATAAGAATCAGCCAAAATGAAAAATCTAGAAGGCCAGCTAGTGTGTGTGTTTGAGCGCGGCAGCTAGCTGTTACGTTCATATATAGATATCTCACTCTAACAAGAAAGACGAGCGAAGCGACAGCACACCAATACACAAGTGATCGTGTGCGATGTGTGACTGTAGTGATTTAGCGTGAATCATATCTGTTGTAATAAACAACAGAAGTCATGGATTCGGCGGTGGTAGCTCTTGTTCTGTGGCAAAATCGAAAAAATTGTACGAAATTGCCATGAATTAAGAAAATGGTTTGAAATAGAAAATGTATACGACATTATTTTCTAAGCACAAGTCAAACTAGACACAGAAGTTTTGATGAAATAATTTCATTACATTAAAGCGTTTCGAATTGATACACACAGCAGACAAGAGCTAATATCACGAGCAAACAGTAAAACTGCTGAAAGAGCGATGGTATTCCGCATCGCATTAGTGCGCTCTGTCAAATGGAATAACTGGCACACATTTATTTGTGAGCGTATGCCTTTTGCCAGCTCCAATTGTAAAAGTAACGGGTAAAATATTCGATGCGATTGTGGGTTTTACATCGTGATAAAATATCAATCTGTGGGTGTGTGTGTGTGTGTGTGTTAAAAGTTTTGGAAAGAACATGTTGTGAACTGAACTGAGAAGAGAAAGAGAGAAGGGTGATTGGGTAAATTTTTCAATATATGGAGCAACGATTCGAAAGATACCTTTATTATTAAATTAGTTGGAAAGATGATTTTTCTTTAAGAGTGATGTGCAAAAGACCGTGTATGCTCGAGCACGTGTATATGCCAATGGTTGAAATTTCATATGTTTATATCTGCATATTTATTGTGTTTGCGTCTTATTCAGTCATTCTGTTCATCGACGTTGCCGTCGTCGTTGTCGTCGTCATCGTCGATAATTGTACTTCATTTGACATTGATTTCGCCCGCACATGATTATCGCACAACAGCGCACAACGCAATTCGAAGGCAACGCCAAATTGAAATGGCTGAAAAGTGAATTGGTTGTCTAGGCTGGAGGCTGGTATTAACAGCATTTTGCCTTTTGTATATGTTTTTTAGATGATTTGTTTATTCGCCCAGTCAATGCTTGACATCTTTTCGATGGTGAAAATAATTGCGTGCACGTTGTGCGCTCATGTGGAACGAAATAAAAGCATAACCAAATTCATTCGTTTTCTCACACTCTCCACTTCTTCGATTTTATTCAAGTATGTGGAACGACAACGATGCTCCACAAGCGAGCACACACACGGAGAGAGAGAGAAAATGATAACAATGTATGCGCCGAGTGGATTGAATTGGAAAACTCTCTCCCAAATACAAGGAAAATTATTAAAACGGAGGAAAAATCGATTTAACATAATGCCAAAGTAGCGAATATGTGAAACAATGCGCTCTTCTCTCACTACTCAACTCTCAGACTCTTCGCGTCTTCTGTCAACTCAATTTTCATTTGTGTTAATATTGCTCATAAAACATAGACGCTTTTTTATCGGATTTTGCAATGCTCTTTGAAGCGTCTCGCGCGCAACAGCTGCATATGTCTATAGTGCGAGAGAGAGTGAGAGAGTGAGAGAAGGACCGAAAGTAAAGAAGGCGTACGGAGGAACAGGACAAAAATAGACATTATTATGATCGATGGAAATTATTAGGAGATTGAAGAGTTAACCTTTTTTGTCGAAGCAACGTAAAATGAAATGAGCGCAGCCGACGAATACAATGATCATGAATATATGAATAAAAGAATACCCGGCCGAATGAAAGCCGATTATTGCAAGCTATGTTAACCGGTACACATATTCAAAATCACTGTATGCTTTTTTATCTATAATCACGTCTTCTTTTAGAACAGTTACAATTTAGACGGAACACTTGAAAAAGAGGCAAACTTGTACATTGTACTGTGTACCGTCCCAATAAAAAATGCACACAGTGCACAGTTACCAGCATTATATACACAAATCGGGCGCATCTCAAGTTTATACATTGCTTCGCATTTCATTAAGTATTTAGAATGGAACAATGGCAACGAAAAAGCGACCGGATACAAAGAGTTTTCTTTAACATTTTGCACTGTAAATCGCATAAAAAGTGCTCTTGCTAAGAGTGGGAGTGTGTCGTGCGTACACCGAATAAAAGTGATTTCAGAGTGGCGTACGAGAGTTTTAGAGTTTTCTAACGGCAAACCATATTATGTGCTGTCGAGTGGAAGACGTACACGATGTCATAATGTCGATGCTTTATTCAAACGCAAAAGTTTATGGAGCAAAACAATTGAAAATGTCGACGTCGACGTCGACGTCGACGACGACGACGATGAGAACGACAACGATAGAAAAAGACGACGACGACATTGATGACGACGAGCTGAAGTACCACGAGACAGAGAGAGAGAGATACTTAATGAAAAACTGGGACTGCGAATCATTATCCATTAAAAAGCAAACATATGAGCACTTAAATGCGATACACATAACTTTTGCCACTCACTTCAAAATTGCTACCGCTTAAGCGGAACTTATATTTTACTCTCATTCAGCTCACAATTTCGTTGTC